TTTGGGTAGAATTAGGGATTTTTGTACAATTGGAATTTAGTCCTCGATTTGGGGTCGGATTTCGAAACTAATTGCATACTTGGGCTCGTGGGTGAATGTGTTTTGGTCCGAACCTTGAGTTTTGACCAAGCGTGCCTGGGATCGATTTTTGACTTTTTGGGGAAAATGTTGGGAAACATGTAATTTTGCAATGAAATTGATTTCTTTAGCGATAATTGATATTATTAAGTTAATTATGTTAGATACAAGTGGATTGGTAGTAAAACTTAGGGAAAAACGGTGTTTGAGGCTTGAATTCGGCCGTGGAATCGAGGTAAGTATTGTAACTAACCTTAGCTTAAAGGATTAAGTATTGTTGCTTTAATTGCTACGTGGTTGGTTGTTGAGTACGACGTATAGGTGTGGTGACGTGCATTTATACGTTGTTGTCGGGTCAAAGCATGCGAGTGAGTCTTATACTTGTGACTGTTTTATTCCTTATTCGTACTATTCATGCTTAAACTGGTTACTCTTCCCGTTAAACAAATCTTATCATGTTTTCCTGATATTGGATATTGGTCGAGTATTGACTCGAGTTGGGATTTATATTGTGAAGTTAAATATTGAAACGAGGTTGGTTATTGATCGATTCCCTTGCTGGGTTGTTACTGTTTTGTTGTTTGGGTAAATGAAGAGTGTAAAGCACGAAGGGTGATGCCGTGCAATGTTTTGTGAGAGAGTGTTAATGCACGAAGGGTGATACTGTGCCATATTCTGAGAGTGTTAATGCACGAAGGGTGATGTTGTGCCATGCTATGAGAAAGTTAATGCACAAAGGGTGATGCCGTGCCGTTTCTATTGTTTCTTATGGTAAGGACGAGAGTAAAAGCACGAAGGGTGATGCCGTGCCATTCTTATCTGATTTATATGGTGAGGTTGAGAGTAAAAGCATGAAGGGTAATGCCGTGCATTTTCGGTTACTGTATTTACTTGTTGTTACTGGTTCAACGTGTACTAGCTGTTAAAATTCTCCACTGTTGTGATTCTTATTTTTTCAATCCCACAGCATGTTTTCCCCTTGCCGTTATTATCTGTTAAACTTCTGTTTGTTGTTACTTTCTCGTATATGATTTAACTGCACAGGTTCATGTTATTGTCGTGTCCTAGCCTCGTCACTACTTCGCCGAGGTTAGGCTCGGCACTTACCAGTACATGGGGTCGGTTGTACTGATACTGCACTCTGCACTTCCTGTGCAGATTTCGGTACTGGACCTCGTTGATCAGAGTTGGGTTGCTGCCTTCAGTCCATCAGGAGACCCAAGGTAGATCTGCTGGCGTTCGCAGACCCCGGAGTCCCCTTCCCTCTATCTTAGTTTCCGTGTTTTCTTTCATTTCGAGAACAGATGTATTTTCTTTAAACCAGTATTGTAGAAACTCTTAGACGTTTGTGGATTGTGACGCCAGATCTTTGGGTAGTCATGTATTAGTGTTTTAAACTGTTATAAAACTTCCGCCCTTCTTATTTGTTTAGTTTAAATTATTGATAATTACTGTTTTAGTTAATTATTAGCGTGTTAGATCTTTATCTATTGGCTTGCCTAGCATTCTAAAGGTTGCCATCACGATCCCATGGTGCGAAATTCGGGTCGTGACAATACGGAAGAGAAACCACATGATTAGGACGGTTTTGAAAAGTCTAGTTTTGGTTATACATAATAGAATAACCTAAAAATTGGTATGGTACTAATTTTATAAAATAATCGGCCGAACCGAACCATTGACTCCCCTAGGAGCAGGTGTGGAGGCTCTCTCTCTCTCATGATAGTAGCAGTTATAGTTATGCAGCGTTTGATTGGCAATATAAAATAACAACCACATCGTGCTATGCCATGCATTATTTTATACGGGATAGAATATAAAAGAACAATACAACATCATTTGGCTTATGAACAAGTTATATTGGAATCATAATGTGAGAATTATTGTACGAGAATTAAATTATAACAGGAATTTAGTGAAATTACTTTTATTTTCAATTTTAACTTTGACTTTCTTACAAGACTTATAAAAAAGAACTTTGGAGAAAGACAAAAGTTTCATTTTGTTATTTTATTGTGGGACTAATAATTTTAAAATTGTTATCCCATATTGAATTTAATATTAAAATATTATCGTAACTGTGATATAAATCATCTCGGAATTGCTTATACCGAAACTAAAAATTCAACTAAATATAGGATAATTCAACAAAAGAGTTATACAAGTGCTAATGCATCAAAATTTTGGTGTCGAATTATCATCTCTTGTAATAAAGAAATTTACAATAGGTAAAGATGGTCTCATAATATAAAAATATTGACATGGTGAATATCAGTTAAGCTCCCAAGAAATAACAAAATACTACAGCTATTTTTTTGTTCCTATTCAATATTTGAATCTTGTTTATCAAAATTGTCCTAATTTTATATATTATCCGCCTCCGCCCTAAACAAGGATTCCTTACAATTTATATACAATTCATTATTAGTGTCTTAAATTAGGGGATTCAGTTATACTCTTCTTTTTTTTTTTAATCATCTCCTCTTTCCAATAGTGCCTTAATTATAGTATATCATTCCAACATTATCGAACCATAGTGACGTAAAATAGTTCAAGACTTAACTAAGAACCAAATTTTATAAAATTATTATAATAACTTGAACCACAAATAGTACCAAACGAAATCAATAGAGACACTGACGATAGACAACACCTAAACCAGACAAGTTGAATGCTGGAGTATCCAAATTTGATGCATCTATAGTTTCTAGTATAAAGGGATGCACATTAATACTAATTTGTATATAATTGATAAATTGTATATCATAATTAAGTTAAAACCTAATCCTTGAAGGTAAATAAATTTTTAATGTAGTACATATAGGTAAAATTTCTTTTTGAATCTAAGTCTAGACGTGAGCCCTAGTAGTTTAGTTGGTAAAATACCTTAACTTTCACCTTATCGGTGAGGGTTTAAGTCTTCACCCGTGTAATTTCCTTCCCATTTCCCCTCCCCCTTCTCGAATTTCTTTAAGAGAAAAATATCTAAATGATGAGGAGGCAAGTATCAAGATTAATGAATAGTTTTTTTCTTCTTTTTCTTTCCAAGTGCTCAGTACAAGTCTTACGTAAGGGACTGCATCGAATGAATGAAAACCTAAATTAAATTACTAAAAAAAAAAAAAGAAGTGTCTTATCTCTACTATCAATTTAAACTATTACACCATCGGTTTCAATTTATATGAAGTTGTTTGACTGGGCACGGAGTTTAAGCAAAAAATGAAAATTTTTGGAATTTGTGCTCCAAAACAAGTCAAAAAGGGTCCAGAGTATTTGTGTGTTTATAAAAGCTTCTCATTAATGATAAAATTGGAAATTTAAGCTAAATTGTTTTCAAATTTAAGAGAAAATAGGTTCATATAAACTGGAACGGAGGGAGTATAAGTCACTGTACATATAATTCGCCGACCAGAGAATTTAATTTGCCAGTTAATTAATTTTTTTTCTTAACAAAGCTATATATAAGATTGTCCTTCAATATATGAGCAGTTTCCTGCGTTATGGCATTGCGAGATATACGGCTAGATCCCAGATTTGCCTTAACGTTATCGCATGCTTTGATGCTTTCATTTGATTAACAATGCAGTTTTAAATTATTTTTATAATTATTAGAACATTAATAGGTGAAGAGAAGACGCGTCTTTTTTATTTTTCACCTTCATTCTCTTATAAAATAAGGAAGCTTCCTTCATTAATGCTTCACCTCAGCTTATCATATGGATATTTGGCTAGATCCAAAATTTCCGGAATTTATTTCCATTTTTTTCTTCTATCTCTTACTCTCTCTCCCGTTTATGTAAACCTATTTCCTTTTTGGTTCGTTCCAAAAAGAATGAACCCTTTCTAAATTTGGTAACAATTTAGTTTAAACTTACAATTCTACCCTTAATGAGAAGCTTTTACAACCACACAAATACTCTGGGGTACTTTTTGACTTGTTTAGGATCACAAATTTCAAAAGTCTTCACTTTTTCTTAAACTCCGTACCCAGTCAAACATGTTCACATAAATTGGAACGGGAGGAGTATTCTATAATTATTTTCATTCTTCCAATAATTCAACCATTGGCTGTAATACCAAAATCAAGTCGTTAATTATTCGTGTCGAAGAAGAGTGGAAGGCTATCATGTATATGTGGCAAAGCTGGCTTTTAGGTAAATGCTGGCCTTGAAGTTTATTTATATAAAAAATATTTCATAATCTTGTAATTTTGAATTACATTGTATACTCTCTTCATTCAAAATTGAAAGTATTTGTTTCGCTTAATATAGCTATTGATGGGAAAAAAAAAGAATAAATCATTCATTATTTGTGGAGAGAGCATGTCAGGTCATATATTGATGAATAAAAAAAACAGCTCCGTGCATGAAGAATTCCGCGTTCACCCAGAATTCGATAAAGGACCGCACCCTAAATGTGGTCAGCCATAGGGTGAATACGTCTTTGTATAACTAAATAGGAAAAGAAATATCTCAAGCAAAAAGCTCATAGTATATCAAGATACACCGACCATGTAAAATATATTTACAATATTATGTTATTTATAAGGTTATTGGAGGTATATCTCTATGATAAACTTTAAATTATAACCTAAAAAAATAATAACTGTCCTTCTAACATATTTTAAAATTAAGTAATAGCGTAAAAAAATTTGCATAGTCCGTACATATAACTTAAATTGAAAACAAAATAAGGAAAAAAGAGAAAACCAGAAAATCATGTGTCTTCTTTTGCTAATGGCCACGCTAGCTACTCAATGTGATTGTCCTGCTGGCTATAAACCGCTCATAATTGAAGGCAATTTAGTAAATACTTTCGTGCAGAGAGTTGATCAATAAACAAACAGAATCGATACAATTTGAAATGAAACATTTATTTTAAAATATTGCAACTAGGATTCTTCAACATCTCTATAAAAACAAACTTAAATGCTATGTTTACACCTGCCTTAATCTATTAGCTATCTCTATTCTAATATAGCAATCTCATTTGATAAAAAAAAATAAATAGAAAGAGCTCTAGCTTAGTGAAAATGGCCAGTTCTGGTATTAAACTTGTGTGCATTTTCTTCATTTTGAGCATTGTTGTGCCATGTTTTGCCAAAGAGTACGTAGTTGGAGGCAGAAAAGGTTGGAGTCCAGGCGTTGATTATCATCATTGGGCTTATGGGAAAAGCTTTCGCGTTGGAGATGTTCTCCGTGAGTATTGCTTAACAGCTATTTTCTCGGACACTATTTCTTTTTTAGTCTCTTATAGAATGAATGACACATATTTATTTTGATAATTCTTTAGTTTTAAATGTTTCATTTTATCAGTGATGAAGGATAATAATTTCGGAATAAAATACAGGATTATTTTATCTCATATTTTGTTATAGGTGTTAATTAGTTCCGCAAACTATTTCATATGAAAATGATGAGATTAGCTATTCCATATAAAAGTTGTCGTAGCTAATCCCATAGTATATCCTAACCCATGACATACTCTCTCTTATGACTCGTTTGGTTGACGGGATAAGAGATAACAATTCCGAGATAATGCAAGATTATTTTATCCCGTGTTTGGTTATAGATATAAATTAGGCACGGGAACCATCTTGTACTAAAATGATGAGATTAATTATCCCAAGTAGAAGGTACAATAGCTAATTAATTCCATGGGATATCCTTATCTATCTCATCCCGATAATCAAATGATCCCTTATAGTTATAAAAATATTATTGCAAAAAACAAGTTCTAATAGTACTTTCAAAAATCTTTCTTTTAAAAATTCTATATCCAATTAAACACTATAGTAACAACTATTGTCTCTCTTTTCATTTAATAATTAATATGCTTTAAAGTCTGTTGTTAATCTTAAGAGAGTTGATGAAAGTACGTTAATACACTGGTATATATATGAATTTAACTATTACTCCCTCCATTCCGGTTTATGTAAACATATATCCTTTTTGGTCTGTTCCAAAAAGAATGAACCCTTTCTAAATTAATAAATAATTTAGTTTAAACTTCCAATTCTACCCTTAATGAGAAGCTTTTATAACCACACAAATACTATGAATCCTTTTTGACTTGTTTAGGACCACAAATTCAAAAAGTCTTCATTTTTTCTTAAACTCCGTACTCAATCAAACAGGTTCATATAAATTAGAACGGAGTACTAGTATTTTCTAACATTGTCATGATATTTTCTATTACTACAACTTAATTTAAACGATTATGAAAGATTACCTGACTTAATTTCAAGTTACTTTATTTACAAAGGGAAGAATGAAATTAACAGCTTCTAATATGTTGACAGGTTTCATCTACCACCCAAAATTGACAGATGTGGCTTCAGTGGATATTTCAAGCTATGCACTTTGTGATGGTGTCACAACTTACACCAAGGATAACAGTGGGCGTACATCAATTACTCTTGCCAATTCTGGGGCTTATTACTTCATCTCTACAAACGAGACACGCTGCTCTTCAGGTCTCAAGCTAGAATTGCACGTTATTTGAGAAGCACACTGTAGTATCGTTGAGAAAATTTGTATTCTTTTATTTATGCACTTGTAAGGTTTTGTTAATATTTCACGTGAATGTTCTAGTCATTGCCTAGAGCTTTCTCTTTGATGAACTCTATATTATTGGTGCATCTCTTATAAGAAGTTAAACGGCTCTATTATTAAAGTTCTTCTGTCAATGGATTGGATTTTCTTCACATTTCACTCTTACTGATTCTTTCTATTTTTTTTTTTTTTTTTGGAATTATAAAAGTGTCACGACCCAAAATCTACTAGTCGTGATGGCACCTAACCCAACCCGCTAGGTAAGCTAACTATACTATCCACTTTCAATAATATTTAATAAGGCAATTTATCAAAAAAAAGTTATCTGAATCTTATACATTTGTCCAAGGACTGGTAGTACAAATCATGAGCTTCTAAGAATAGAGTTTACAAAGCTGATATGAAGAAAATACTCTTCTGTTTGAAAAGTACATAAACAGAGTTTTATAAATCTAAGGCTACCATGAACAAGAGGCAGCTACAACAGGAACGCATGTACATCCTCAAATCCAGCTCTCATCGAACACAGCAACCTCAACGGCCAACATCTGCACGCAATGTGCAGAAGTGTAGTATCAGTATAATCGACCCCATGTGCTGGTAAGTAACAAACCTAACCTTAGGTTGAAAGTAGTGACGAGCTGGAACAAAGGTCTGGTCCAACACCAATAGCCAACAACAGTTCATAATAACGTAAAGCATGTAATAAAAGAAATAAATCGGAATTCAAGAATGCTCAGCTTATTCATAATTTAAAAAAAAATAGTTATGCTTTTCCAGTGTGTTAGTGAAAACCCAAATCCTTTACCGAAATCGTCCAAAAATTTGAGTAAGTTTTAAAACTGTATTTTCCCCCCAAAAATCCTTTCAAAAATACATAAGATGTTTCATTTTTCAGATAGCATGGGGAAAGTACATCTCTATGCCTACATGTCAAGATACAGGTAAAATCATGAATGTCATCAAAACCGAGCAGCAAAAGAAAATGCATCTCTATGCAAGTACCTCAAGTACGCATGTCAAATGCAATGTCTCTCGGTGATGAGCTCATGTACTCACACTCTCACAGTACTCAACCTCATTGTCTCGCATTATCTCTTATCATGCTCCTTACTCAGCACACTCAACCACTGCACTATGCAATACTCGTTACAGCGTGCAACCCGATCCATATACATATAGTCATAAGGCTCGTTGCGATGTGCAACCCGATCTATATACATCTATACTATATCTATATCAATCTATATCTATATCTATATTATTATAAAAGCATGAATACAGTATTGGTTGACTAAAATAGCCCTAAAATATATAAAATTAGAGGTTATTTTTGGTAAAATATAATAGAAATAGAGTTCTTATTAAATACTACATTTGAATTTTGGCACCTAAAAAATCAGCTACTAGTTATCTACTTGGATTAGATAAGTGCATAAACCAAACTCATTCCTAATTATACTAAACTTATAGTTTCACGTTTCTTTAGTTCCATTTAAAATGCCAAATTTTTTTCTTCTTTTTTTGGGAATCCTTCATGTGAAATTAAAAAATAATAGGAGAAAAGGAACCTAGTGATAGGTTTGTTCATCACTCAATGTAAATTTTTTCTACTTCTTAAGTATAATAATTTATTTTAAGAAATCTTTCATCAATTTATTTCAAAATTCAAATCGAATTGAAATAGTTGTGAAAATCAAGAGTTGAAATAGAAAAATTGTGTCTGTGGACTTGCGCTTAAGTTGTAAGTTACAGTTGTGAACTAATTAAAGACCATGAACTTAACGTGTGTTGTTGCATGTCATGTTCTATATGAAAATATTTAAAATTTTAGAAATTCTAATTAAGATGATCTAATACCATCAACTATCTATAATATATAGAGAGTATTAACTTAATCAAGGGAGAAGAAAATTACGGAAGAGTCAAGGGACATCCCTGACAATTAACATTGGAAGCATAATAAATTTTTTAAGGTGAGTCTAAGAGTCCGTTGAATTGAAACTTTTGAGTACTCAATAATAAAATAATTATTCCTACACACACTTAAAAGAGTTTTTAAGGATATCCAGCTTTAGTATGATGAATAAATTAACGTAATGAAAATTTCAGCATACCAGTTGAGCAGCTGAGCATGTGACACAACTTCTAAGAATTAAAATTGGCTTCTAATAAAAAAAAATACAAATTGTCTGACAAAATTATTAACTCTAGGAATTAATCAAGCATGCAACTTTGTAATTGGGGCTGAGACTTTCATGTAGCTACAATGTTGCTTCAATTGAATCGAAAATATATGCCATTACTTAAGTGTACATATGAGAATAATTAGAATTTAGTTTTAAAAAAAAAAATAGATGTATGAAAAGAACCAGTTTAAACTAGGAATACAAATTTATTTTTCTTACTTTACTTTTTTGATCTTTCTTTTCTTAGCCGGATATTTTTTACATGTGAAACACGTACATAGGAACTAGTATATCCATAAGGCTCGTTGCAGCGTGCAATCCGATCCATATACATATATATACATAGTCGATTGCGCTCATTAGGGGTGTGCAGACTCCGAAGGAGCTCCTTCAGTCCAAGCGCTATATCGCTGCGGCTTGCAGCCCGATCCAATAAAATATAATCAATATGACATGTTGCGGCATGCAGCCCGATGCCATAAGTGTCACTCATAATCAGGCTCTTAGCCTCACTCAGTCCTCAATCTCTCAGTCTCACTCACGGGCTCACAATGTCATGAAACTAGCCTGACAACAATGATATGATGTATCAATAAATAACAACTGAGACTGAGATATGATATGAATGCATGAATATTACTTAGTATGAACATATCAGTAAAAATTAGTGAGATGACATCAAGAAATGACCACTATGGGTCCCAACAATATCGATGACGTGTGGCTATAATTCCATAGTTTCGCACATTGTGTGCCTTGCATTTCACATGCTTTAATGATAAATTAAACTTTATTTACGCGTAACGGAGTCTATTCTATGTGTAGGTTAATTGGAGATGAAAGTAGAGCAAAAGGATACTTAAACGTTGAAAGTGTGCGCGAGAACAGTGAAAAGGAGAGACCAAGCAAAAGCCAGCTCAACCAGCCTTTAGCCTAGCGAGGCCAGCCTAAGGCCAGGCTGAACTAGGCTTTAGCCTGGCGAGGCCAGCCTAAGGCCAGGTCCAGTCCGAGTTTGAAGACCTTATTCGTCTCCTGGTTTGACTTGGACTTGGCTTACACGTTTAGGTTTTTTTCTACACATATAAATAGACCTAAAAATGCGGGGAGATCGAATTTTGACATAATTTAGACCTAGGGAGAGCACAGAGCCGCCTTGGAGACCAGAGATTTGACCTAAGGAGGCAAGAACACACTAGGAGCAAGATGGAAAATTCTTCTACGAGATTTTCACTTCCTTCTTCGTATTTCCATTATTGGTTATGAATTCTAGTATTGTAGTTATGCATACTATTATGAATAGCTAATTTGTTATCTAGGGTTTTGATGGAACCTATTGGAGGATTATTTTCCTGTTATGTTAATATAGATTTGCTATAGTATTTTCTCTATTTGTTCAACTACGTTATTATTGTGGTTGGTTGAAGAGCTGTCAATCGACTGTGCCTATTTAGTGAGTATTACTCGGGAGAGAGTGCATATTTAGGTAGTTGTTGAATAACATCACTCTTAACGTATATGAGGGATCAATACGAAGGGTTTAAAGGTGGGATTAAGGATAACGAAACCTTGGTGCGACTGAGTGAGCTGTATTTAAGGCCAGCTAGCGTAATTCGGTAGAATATGTCTAGTATATTGTTGTAATTACTCGGGAGAGAGTTACGACAACCGAAGTGCACATGATCGGTAGAGAAGATTTAGGCAAATTTATAGAAAACGTAGCGGGAAGAATTTCGACAATAGGGGAAATCATAGCTCTAGACCTCCTTAATCTTGTCTCCAACCCGTAGTGTCTTTAGTGTTAATCTACTAACTTAATTTGTTAGTTAATTAGATACAAGAATCTTAATATTTATAACATAGGAATAGTTCGAGCTTGTCTTCTTAGAGATATTGAACAACTGTAGCTAAGCCTTATTCTCTGTGGGATTTGACTCCGGGCTTGTAAACCGGATTATATTTGCTACGACTGCTTAGTCCTTTTTATAAGGCATAGTTGGGCGTGATCAAATTTTGGCGCCGTTGCCTTGGAACTAACAGTGTAGCTGTAGGTGTACACAATGCTAGGTTGCAAGTTTGAACTTTTATTGTTGTTTACGTGTATTTGATTATTTATTTATTATTAGTTTTTTTATTTTTGATCTGAGAGACATGGTATCTTGGAATTATGAGATTTTTGATGTTGGTAATTCTACTTTTGATCCGCCTTATGCAATTAGTGAAGGAAACCACCCAGGGCAAAATTATCAAAATATTCCCGAGAGCGACTTATGTTCACCAACTCAATCTTATGTGTGGAATGTGTGTGATATGTGTGGTGGTCAAGATGGTCACTTTCGTGGTTGTTCTTATATTTCTTATCTTCCCCCAACCCCTTACTTTGATGGTTCTTCTTTTTCTTGTAAAGTTAATAGGAACAAAGAACCTAGGGATGTTGACCTGAAAAAGATCGAGGATATGCTAAAGTACCTTGTGGAACAATATGATGAGATACAACTGCAGGTACAAAGGCAAGATGCAACTATTTGCAACTTGGAGGCTCAAGTGAGTCAACTAGTTGAAGCTTTTAATGCTCAATATGCCAATATTATGGATAGTAGCAAGGAGCAGTGTGCATTAGAGATGGAAATTGAGGTGCCAATGGAGGGGTCCAAAGTAGAAACCTAACACTCTAACCAGCTACAATTTGAGGATGCCAATGTTGAAGAAGTAATACTAGAGTCAACCAGGGACGTTGAAGATACAAATTTAGTTGACTCTAGTGTGATTGGTGTTGAGGAGGTTAAAAATCTTGAAGTTCATGTATTTGAGCGCGTTGGACCTCATTCCAAACACTTCTCTACATTATGTTCAGATGATGAAATGGAAACTGAGCCGTATGAGCCAATGCAAGAGTCAAAGGAAGAGGTAGATGAGCCCTATGTTCTGATGTTTTCAAGGCCGTCTAGGCAAAGTGACATTCCTCG